GTCCTGTTCTCAGCTGACTCCAGGGGGTGGCCTCCGCTGGTTTGTGTTTGTGGACATTGTTAGCTCTCGCCCACCTTGTCATGACTGCAAACAAAACACTGAAGCACAAGAAAAATGATTTCAAAGGAAACTTGGTGACATACACCTCATCAACAGGAATATTTCCAAACGTCTTCATAAAAGCATTCAGATATAGAAGGGTGAATAAAGCCTTGTTAAGCTTTTGAGGTTACTTCCTGGTTGTACTGAAAAATGATTTGAAGCTTAAAACCCTCAAAGATGGATCCTACAAGTAACATCTATTGGTCAGCTGCAATTATAGCAGCCATGACTTCTAAAGCAACAGTACACGTCACCCCTACCTCATTTTGACCCCGTAGAAATTAATGCTAAACTAGTAATAGGTTGCCCCACTAGTAAACCTGGTTACGTAGCACTTGTTATTTGGACACCTGAAGGCTGTTGTAACACGATCATAATAACCTTATAAAGTAATCTTAAATACTGATATTGTCAAATCCCACTTAAAATTAGAACAGAAATTAGATGAAAATGAACAACTTCATCATTACTGCTGTTATTGCAGGTAGGAGTTAAAATGATCCCTCCTGGCTCTAGTCTTAAATGTGTGTCCTGTTAGATTTCAGACAGTTTTGGTTTGTGACGTAAGATGACAGACATTTTAACATCACCGTGTTGGAGGTATGATTTTAAAGTCTGTGAGTTCTAGCAACTGAAGATCTCTCCCAGCACCATGAAGCAGGGAGGAAACACTGAACATTTCAAGTCTCCTCATAATGAATGAAACAGCAGCAAAGATTCCAATCAGTCACCTCACTTCAGATAAAATTAAGACTTTTGTACTCAGCCATAAACATATTAGAAATATGGTATCTTACCAGAATTCCCACGATGCACTGGTTGCATCGTCACTAACCATCCATTAATACACCTCTCTGCATTTAATTATGAATTATTATTCATCTCTGGCTCTCTTCCACAGCACGTCTGCTTCCTGTCTTCCTCCCCTCACCGTAACCGGCCGCCCCTCATAGGGGTCATCTGATGTTTGGGGTTTCTCTGTATTGCTGTTGGGGCTTAACCGTACAATACAAAGTGCCTGTCCAAAAACAAATCAGTCCAAGGTACAAACTTTTCGAAAGAGGATGCGTAGTTTCTAATGTCCCCTCCACCGCTCATCGTTGGCAGT